AATCCATAACATCAAAAAGTGTGGTGGGTGCAAATGTTTTGTACAGGCCTCCCCTTTAAGGAGAACTTCTTGTTAACAAAAGAAAGTTGGAAGCCCTCTTATCCACTGCTAGCTCCTAGGCACAGCTTGGTGTTAAATAAAGAACTGAAGAAAATCTTTATTAGACCCCCCCCCATTGTATGCTTCACTTTTGGACAGTCGCTTGCTGTTTAAACATTCTTATCAAATTTTATTTCTTCTTTTATCAAAGGGCTTTCTCTCCCCCTCCTTTTCTTTCTTTCTTTCTTTCTTCTTCTTCTTCTTCTTTTGCATTGTGCTGGGAAGATTTCTCTTTTTTCCCCTCCCCATTCCTAGTTTATCTATAATTCAGAACATTTTTACACTTCGGTTATAATTGACTTTTCCATGCCACGGTGGCTCAAACAATAACTATTAATATTCAGCAGTCTATAGCGATAAAGATTTCCATTTACTCTTTTATATATTTTTCAAAATCTCCACGTGGCTGTATGGCTATACGGCACATTATCTGGCGCAGTTAATATTAAATTTATTCATATTTATTCTCCATTGTCCCATATAGTCATCTTAAAAGAATAAGCACTTATTTTATCCCCACCACCACCAACCATGTGCAGACATCTGATTTGAGCATTGCTATTAGCGAAGCAAATTATTACCCAAATGTACAAATCGGGGGTATTTTTAAGGGTGATTCCTTGCGGGTTGAAGATCTCTTCAACTTGACAGACTCTTTAGCTTCAAAGCCACCATCTTATGGTTTGCCCTTGTGACCTGTTTAATTTTCATATGCCTGTCGAAGCGTGTGTGTCTGTGTGTATAATACAGAACAAACTCATTTCTCTTCCTGCCTTGGGGGAAAACTCTTTAACACATGGATGAGGGCGACTACAAATTGAGTCTTTTATGGACGGAATCCAACATAAAACAAAGCCTGCCTAATCCCAACTGAACAGCAATGGATTTAAATTCTGGGTTGGACTACAGCCCAAAGCCTAAAGCCTTTTTGGAGTCCTAACTAGAGCAAACCTACTGTATCTACTGTTGAATGGTGGGTGAACACTTAAACAAATCCCATTGATTCAATAGTTGTATTCTTCTTGGGTCTAATAATAGGATTCAATACCCTCCAACTGTTCCAGTTTGGCAGATTATTCCACCGTTGTCCCACTTTTTCAGTTGCTTTTTAAATGTTCCAGTTTCTCCCTCCTTCCACCACAGTCCTCCTTTGTCTTCCTCTTCTTTCATTTGTGGCAAACTGAATCCAAAATGCAAATTAGTACAAATTAGTTTGTACTCGATAAATTCATCAGGGAGAGAACTGTCCTTCCCAGCTGGATGGGGCAAAAGTAAACTGCTGCAGCCTCTGCTAGCCTATTTGTTCTCTCTCATTAATATCATTTGGCATCTTGACCACATTGTGATGCTGCGCGGCCACTCTTGCCCAAGTTTTAAGTTGTGAAATGTTGGAAGGTATGAGATTCAGACCCCAAACTGTTTGCAGTTTGATTCTTGGGAATAAGTACAGTAGGCCCTCAGTACCAACAGATTCTCCACCCATGAAATCAAGTATCCATGTCTGTATATGTCTGTATATATCCATATATGTCCATATATGTCCATGTATCCATGTCCACATGTATAATTGAGGGGGGGGGGCGCGCGCTGGAACCAAACATCAGCAGATACCAAGGGCCCATTGTACCTTTGAGTTTACAGCAGATTTTGGATTACATTCCCAGAATCCCCAAATCCCAAAAAGTCCAAATCCCCCTCCATTTGAAAGTTTTAGTTTACAGTTAAACATGCACAGAATCACAGTGGGTAAAATGGGTCCCTTCGTTCATTGTAGGATATTATCTAAAGCCCAATCTGCACTGCAGAAATAATGCAGTTTGACAATGCTTTAACTGCTATGGAATTCTAGGATTTGGTGTTTGTTGTGGCACCAGAGCTCTCTGACAGAGAAGGCTAAATGTCTCACAAAACTACAAATCCCAGAATTCAATAGCATTGAGCCATGGCAGTGAAAACAGTGTTAAACTGCATTATTGCTGCAGTATAGTTTAGAGCTAAATCACCCAAATTGCCTTTAAATCTAGGTACTATTGACCACGTATTTTAAGCTTTGAAAGGTGTTCTAGTACTAATTAAAAGATCAGCAAAAATGTTAACTATCTCTTCCAAAAGGGAAAAAAATCACTGCAATGACAGCATGAGAGGGAGGTAAATCAATTTTTGTAATCTGCACAACACACTTTTCATCTAAGTATTGACATGTCATTATTTCAATATATTGTAAAACTATAGGTGAAAATCAAAAATATAGAAGCCTCTTAATTTTTTTAAGAGCAAAAAGTTTTTACTGGGATTGAAATATGGTTTTGAGAACTATGCTCATTAAATGGCTCTCATGGGAAAAGTGAATAGCAAAGAGGTGCCAAAGAAAACGTGTGATCAAATGAGTAGTGATGAATGTAATGAGGAGATGTAGCTGTGCTATATGAAAATTGCATGTGGGTTTTGTTTTTTCTTTTTGCTCAGAAAACAGCATTTTCTGCATAGAAAATAATATTTATGTCCAGAAATATTATTGCTTTGCATAAAATGATTTTTTCTTTGCTGTTCCTTTCCTTTCTCCTAAACACAAATATTTTCCACACTATAAACACTGTTTTCTGTGCAGAAAACATTGCTTTGTGTAAAAAATTTTTGCAAATTTTCTACTTCCAAAACATGACGATTTGTGTAAGTCTAGGACTCTTCTTGTCAGAGTTTCCCAACACTTGAGAAAAAAAAAAAACTTTTGGACCATTTAAAAAAATTATTTCCATCCCTAGAACAAAGATCCTACCCATGGTATTAAAGTGAATTTATTTACTGTGAGAATGGGATTTTGGGTTTGGATTGCTTTCCTGGGAAAGTTTGCCCAGGCTGACCACAGCTATATACATACATACATACATACATACATATATATATATATATATATATATATATATATATATAAAACTAAGTTGAAACAGCAAGTGGGAAATTCTGTCTCTGGAACTCAGATGCCATTTTGGAGAAGCTGGTTTGATTGATTCGTTTACATGGGTGCAAAAGAAACACTGAGCACATGAGTGCAGGAATGTCACTCAGCATCCCTCTGAAGCAGGGGCTAATATGTTCCCATTCATCTCCTTCACAGGCAGCCGGTGCATCAGCAGCCACCAGCTTGTGCCATGACAGCAGGCGCCTGGCCTGGTATTAATTGTGACTCGTGACCACCAAACTCTTGCCTGTAATTATGAAAAATGCCCTTGGCGCAAGGAAAGTGGCAAGTTCCTTAACTGCTTTCCCCCGGTTCAGAAACAATGACTTTCCCAGGCAGGTTCTCTCTCAAGATCCGAGAAGAACGTGAAAGAAGGAGAGCCAGACTGATTTCACAGCCAGCCACCCACAAAGGCAGGCTGTTCCCGATGGTGCCTTTGCCTCCGCTTCACGGCTAGTTAAGGGCTAGCTGGGTTAAATGAGCTACCCATTAATCTTGGCCCTGCCGAGGCCCAGAACTGCAGGATGCAAAGGCACACACACAGAGCAAATGATTTATCGGCATCCTGGGCTTGTGCCCCCATCTCTTACTTGCTTGCTTCGCACAGCAGCTGGCAGAGTTTACCCAGATCCAGTGAGCCAGTGGCTGAACTGGAGATGGATAGTGATGAAGCCAGCCGTTCAGTAGGCATTTTGGAGGAAGAGTCTGCTTCTGAGGCCTTGGATATGCTGGAATCAGCCGGAAGTATCCTGGCCTCGGAGCTGCCTTGTTCTCCCCACAATACCTGGCCCTCCATTTCCATGCTGGAGGAGCTGTCTGCACAGGCATCCCACTGCTGGGAGATCCAAGTCCTGAATTTATTCCGAACCATGAAAATCTCTGGGTGACCTTGGACCTATAATGATCTGTCTCTTGGCCTGACCTACATTGTTGTTGTTGTTGTGTGCCTTCAAGTCATGTCTGACTTATGGCAACCCTAAGGTGACCCTATAATGGGATTTGGGGGGGGGCAAGATTTGTTCAGAAGAGGTTTGCCATTGCCTTCTCCTGAGGCTGAGACAGTGTGATTTGCCCAGGGTCATCCAGTGGATTTCATGGCTGAGCAGGGAATCAAACCCTGGTCTCCAGAGTTGTAGTCCAACACTCAAACCATTATGCCACACTGACCTGCCTTACAGGGTTGATTTGAGGGAAAGTATGGAAGAAGACAGCCATGTATATCACCTTGAATTCACTGGAAGAAAGATGGGATGAGGATGAGGATGATCCACAGTGCCCTTTCTTTAGGAGTCCTCCAGAAGTCTCTGTAGATGACATCTTTGACAGCCATCCACCTACAGGAATACAGCTGGATGTGGTGCCATTGATCTTCCCACTCTCCAACAACATATAAATGCTGAGGTAGAAGGCTGCATCTCTTAAAAAGTGGATTTGAGAAAGAATTTTGGCTACCATGCAGTTGGTGAAGTTCCCTGTCCCATCAGGCAACATGTTGGGGCAGGGGACTCAAAATCTTTCAATTGTCAATTTTTAAAAAAATTGTTTGAGATCCTGATTCAGGGGATGTATGTCTGGCATGTAGCTATGTCTCTATAGCTAGGTCTCCTGGTGGTATCCCCACAAATCCACCTTTCAAGTGATGCAGATCCCCTCATGTCCATTTCCATTAGAAAGATAAGCAGAAACGTATCCAGCTATTTTCCTATAGCTGGATGTGCTGTTACAGGCATCCTCTGTGTCTTTTGGGGGTCCTCCAGAAGTGTCTGCAGATAACATCTTTGCAGCCCATCCACCTACAGGAAAACAACTGGATATGGCACCATTGATCTTCCCACTCTCCAACAACATGTAAATGGCCATGCTAAGATGGGAAGCTGCATCCCTTCAAAGGTGGGTTTGAGGAAGAATTTTGGCTGCTGTGCACTTGGTGAAGCATTCTGACCTCCACCAAAAAAGTAAGTTACAATACATACACTCTTGTAATTCGCTAATAGGATGACATCCAATATTTTGTTAGCTGCCACAAAAGCTTTCATTGGCCAGTTGACAGCAGATACTTTGCATGGGGACTCATAGAGACAACTACCAACAGATAAGACTTTGGACTGACGAAAGAACTGGGAAGAAGGAGCTACAACCAAGTGCTTTGAAGGCCAAAGATATAAAACAAAATTGAATGGGGAAGAAAGCAAAAGTGACAGATTCATCCCATTTAGGCAGACAAAAGGCTTTGAATATTTTGGTCTTAAAAGTCTGGATTCAGATCCAGCTTTATTCCAAGTGTATGGTGCTGAATAAGACTGCCACCTCTTGCTCCTTATCATTAATCCTTGCATGACAGGCATGAAAAACATAGCTTTCTCCATGTCTTTCAGGATAGATTTAGCCTTTCAATGTGTTTGGTGCAGATCATTGAAAATTTATTCCCTACTTGACAAATTTCTTCAGAAATGGGATAGAATATATATTGAAATTGTTTTTAAGAATGAATTGGGGAAAACTGAAATTGACCAGTTCATCTGTTTCCACTGTCTTCTACTCCCTAGATCTCCAGTAGCCAAGTTGAGACCTATATGGATGTGTTTTTCTGCTCATGTCCTTCATGCTGATGGTCAGAAATAACAGTCAGCAAATCAAGCTCCTACTATTTATACCAAGCCTAGCCAATCCACAAGCTTCTTACTGTCTGCCAATTGCAGGTGCCAATGTTGCACCTGTCTATACTCTCCTCCACCTCTAGAGGGCACTATAGCATAACTACATACAGCCCCAGGTTCCCAATCCTGGGATTGCTTACTGGACTTTCTGATCTATGGATCCTGGGGTATTCCAAAACAAAACAGGCGTATGCATTAAAAAAAAGATGGTACACTTTAAAATGTAAGGTGTGAATCCAGTTTGTGTAGATAGGATATGCCAAGATAAAGCAGCAGACTTGCAACAGCTGCTGGATTTTTCCTTATCAGCCACCGAAACTCAGTGTGAGCCCTCTGGTTAGTGTGTAATGATGTATTTCCCTTGTCTTAATGTTCTTCTTGGCCTCTGATCAGAAGTAAACACCATCAGCCTCTTATTAGCCAGTCTGGTGCTATCTGCTCCTGGGAGCAATTGGGAGGCAAATGAGTAAACACAGCAGAATTTAGTAAGTTTTTTTTAAATATATATAAGGAGATCTAATGATAATTTCTCTACCCTGCAAAATTGTACTGTTACTCAACACGTGGAAAGTAATTAGAGAGGAATGGAGCTGGCGGTATGCAATGGGAGGGGGCAAGACATTCAAGGAACCATCACTATGGAGCCAGGATAACAATTTAGATTCCATTTAGATACAAGTGGCTACAAGTCATGTTTCAATGCTGAATCAATTGACATAGACAAATGATTTAATATGGGAAGTATTTGTTTGAATCAGAGGGCCTGGACACAAACTATCAGAGAGTGGGAGCGAGAATACAGGCTAGGTTGGGCAAATAGAAAAGAATTCAAGAGGAATTCAAAACGCTGAGCAGTAGGCATGGCTTAGGGAGAAAAACAAGAAAACATCTTCTTGTTGACCACTAAATTCTGGAATGGCTCTCATTTGTTATCGGTTGAAGTAAGGGAGTTGTTTTAGAACCAACATGATTGAAGGGTTTATCCTGTGTTTTCAGCATCAAGACTCCAGACTCCAGACTCCACACTTTCTCTGCCTTAGAGGAAAGCAATGGCAACCCTCCTCTGAATAAACCTTGGCAAGGATAAGAATGTCATAAATTGGAATTGACTTGAAGGGATGTGTGTGTTGTCAGTCTTCAAGTCGTTTCTGACTTATTGTGACCCAAAAGTGACCCTGTCATGGGGTTTTCATAGCACGATTTGTTCAGAGGAGGTTTGCCATTACCTTCCACTGAGGCTGAGAGAGTGTGACTTGCTCAAAGTCAATCTGTAGGTTTCATGGCTGAACCAGGAACTGAATCCTGATATCCAGAGTCGTAGTCCAATATTCAAACTACTACACCATTCAGGCTCCTTGACAACAAATCCCATATAGAATGGAGTCTAGTTGCTCTTCAGCTCCAAGCTGTCTTGGATGAAACCAATTATCTAG